CGTCGCATGGGGCTAGGCATATCAACTACTTAACCTAAAACTTAAAACTAACTAACCTAGTTATAACTAAAACGCATAGCAGCACTGTCGACATTATGTCACAACAGATTTGTAACGTGAAGTCGGTACATATCGCGACGTCGTCATTCTGGCATAACACTGGCTATCATTTTCCTACGCGCTGTTGCTATTTGAGTGAAGTCGAAATATTCGTACATTCGCCGACGTCAACAAAGCATAAAAAGAGACAATGGAAAAAGGGGAACATTTACAAGCCTAATATTGTAACCAACTGTCGTAACAATATCGTGTTCGATCTCATTTTAACCAGGAAAATATGAACAATATGTTAGTGATATTTTTATTATTAAAAAAAAAGTTAGTTTGTCGCATTAATATTGTCTTACCGATTAGTAGCCATTTAAATTTTTATTTAATTATAAACGAACCGGATATCACTACAAACAACTACAAACGATTCTGAAGGACATAGAAAAAGCAGATTTTTAAAATCTTGTGCAATATACATATATATTGTGGACGTTTCCACACTGAATAATATTGGTTAAACAAACGTTGTTAAGTATAGAAACGTCCACAAAATTGCGAGCACAATTTTTATATGGCGAATGGTGAATTGATTTATGATGAGTAAATTTTTTAAAATTTCTTACTACGGTGTTATAGAATATTATTATATTTTATATTTTATATCATTATATTGTGTATTTAAAGTTTTTTCGAGATCTCTAATCATTTACGAATTATAAGTGCACAAGTAAAAGGAGTAAGTCGGACGAAAGGAGTGGTTTCTCCCTTACAACGCAATCAGGCAAAAAATGAAAACGATGTACTTCTTATTCTACAAAGTTTCATCAAAATCGTTGGGTATCAAAAAATGAAAAAATCATAAGTCTTGAATGAGTAAGTGGATTTCAATTATCAAACCGGAAAAGTGCGTGTCTTTAGATAAAAAATTTAAAAAAAATATTAAATAAAAATTTTAAAACAATCAAAATAGTCTATTTTTTAGTTCATTTTGCCGGAACATAAGTCTGTTAGGTTCGCATATCGCCTGTTCAAACCATGGATAGATTTTTTCCTTATAATGAGCCGAAGACAGATTTAAAGTCTATTTACACATATCCGTAACGTGCCAGTTCTGTATCCATTCAGTTTCGTAATGTTCCATCAGTCTCAGTGATTTTAAATATTCTTTTGTTGTTTTTGAATGGGCATGTACATACACGTGCGACACCGCTCCGTGACCTTATTGATACGGTACGGATACGGAACTGACACGTTATGGGTATGTGTAAATAGACCTTTAGTATTTAGTATTTGTCTATTCCAACGGCACCCTATATCTTAGACTGAGAGGCGCTTAGTAATACCACCTACGTGCGAACTGAACACAAGAGAGGACTTGTGCGATAGTAACGGCTGGCGCGGAACGAGCAACCTAGTTCCTAAGATATTATGCGCTCCTGATATAACCACGGTACGGCCGCGGCTTATTTGCTGTCGTAAACGCGCATTCGTTTACCTTACTGCTTAATTTTGTAAGCTAAGTACTAAGCAATGTGTAAAAGTTAGAATAAAAGTCTGCGAAAAAATGTGATAATAGAAAAGAATAGGATAGGGAAGGTAGATAAACAATAAACAGTACAGCAATAATAATAGTAATCCAAAGATAAAATTAACAGTTAAAATCGGGAATAACCAGTATTAGGAAGAGAGGGGTATAATAAGCGTGCCAAGTAAATATGAAAAAGGAATATCTGTACATAAAGATATTTTGTTACAGGAAATGTGTTAATAACTATGTAAATGTTTCACATTAAATAAAATACAAGTACAAATACCGCGATGTACGAAAGTGCAACCGTCTTCACTAAATTCAGAGTTACAACTACTGATCACGTACGACGCTCGCTACGCATTACCACCCACCGGTGGGTGGCCAGGTCTAATAAGACCCATTACTGTATGTTGCGTGAGCACGCCCACAGCGTGGCACCAGCGCGTTAGATACGCTAGAGGCCCTAGCGGCCATGCGAGTTAGAAAAAGCATAACCTTGTCAGGCGTAAGCACCAGGGATTCGAACCCTAGCCCGTACCGGGTTCTGGTACTTCGTATTATAGAATAACCCATCTAATCAGGTAACACAAGACACGTGCAACTCGAGTAACCAGGTTAACCCGGTTGTATGCGCGTTATAATAATACGGCAAAAACCATAGTTATTAACAGCTTTCTAAACGGTAATCAATTTTATTAACCGACTTCGAAAAGGAGGAGGTTACTCAATTCGACATGTATTTTTCTTTTTTTTTAAATGTCTGTTCACCGATTATGCTGAGATGACTTGAGGAATCGGAGTGAAACCTCTTGCATCTTGTCGAATATTTCTTTCAGTTGATCGCGTAAAAGAAACATTTTGTGAGTTGTCATTTTTTACCCGTTTTTTTTTTTAAACAGAAACATTTTGTCTTGCTTTTTACTCCGAGACGGATGGACCAATCAGATTGAAACTTCTTGCATCTAGAAGAGCATTTGCCATTTGGTCCCATAACAAAACATTTGTCCTTAGTTTGTTTTTACCACTTTATATCACTGTTTATCGCAAAGAGCGTACTATTTCACGTATGTTTGGCCTGAAATCGATGAAATCCCTTACATTTTGCTGCCGTACAGGATTTCGCGATGATCACATTTCCAAAAATTTATGAAATTTTTAATTGTTTATAACTATTGTTATTGCAAAATTCCTTTTCTTTGCTGAAACTCGGCACGGAATTAACCGATCGAGATGGAATTTTACGCATTTCATAATAGATGAATTCGTGATGTTTTCATTTGCAAAAATTTATGGACACTTTCATTGTTTAAAATCATTGTTGGTGCAAAATTGCTATGCTCTGGTGTAGCTCGACAAGGAACTTACCAAACGTAATCAATCCTTTCACATGTAGTTGCACAAGTATTCCTGATAATCCCATTTGCAATTATACAGGGTGTCCAAAAAATGTTGGATATCCTTGAATGGGGTGTTTCGAGGTGGGGGTGATTTGAAACAATTTTTTCTTAACGAAAATGTTGTTCGAGGCTTCGTTAAGGAGATATTCCAGAAACAAAAACCCCCGACCAATTAGAGCGCGAGTATGCCGATGCAGCGCATGCGAAGCCTACGCTACCGCAGACGCTCCATCGGCATACTAGCGCTCTGATTGGTCGAGGGTTTCTGTCAGTATCTCTTTAACGAAGCCTTGAAGAACATTTTCGTTAAGAAAAAATTTTTTCAACTCCCCCCCCCCCCCTCCTGGAACTACCCTTTTCAAGGACCACCAACGTTTCTTGGTCATCCTGTTTATTGCTCATAACTATTGCTATTGCATGAAATCTATTGGTTATAGATTGCCACTAAAAAGAGTGAAATAAACAAATTTTTTGGAAGAAAATTTAACTGACTTCGAAAAAGGTGCAGTGAAAATCATGAAATAATTTCTAGGTAATGTATATGAATACGCACTAGCTCTAGATATAATTGCTTAAAAGTATAGGAAAATGCAGTGAAAAGCATGAAATAATTTCAAGTTAATGTATATGAATACGCACTAGCTCTAGATATAATTGCTTAAA